ACACACACACACACACACACACACACTCACACACACACACACACACACATGTCTGGTCAGCTATCTTTGTGGGGACTCTCCATAGGCGTAATGGTTTTTATATTCTATTGCCCTACACCAACCCTAGCCCTAAACCTACCCCTCACAGGAAACTTTGTGCATTTTTAGATTTTCAAAAAACTTCATTCTGTATGATTTATAAGCTTTTGTACCCCTGGGGACCACAATTTAGGTCCCCACCGTGACATGAGTCCCCATGAGTCTGTGTGTATTCAGGTTTAAGTCCCAACCAGAATAGAAAAACAGGTACACACACACACACACATATATATATAAAATATTTCATATAATGCAAAATATATAATTCAAGACAACAACTTTAAAAGTGCTCTTTAATTCCTTATTGTTAAACGTCTCATCCCTGTTTGAAACACTGAAACGAGGGATGCTACAGTACATCAGAGAAAAAGAACCAGAAGCACCAAAATGACCATGTGGAGTCAAAATCACCAGTGTTCACACAAATTAATTAAAAACGCCACTGCCATCTGCGAACTCAATTAAATAGTTAATTTACTTTAATTTCAATTTATCTATGTTGCAGCCTGAATCAGACCGAGAGAGTGGAAAACAAAGAAGTATAATGAAAGAGTGTAACCTGGCCCTGTCCCTCCCACTGTGGGCTCTCAGGTCATGAACACCATCATTTAATTTGGTCTTGTGATTAGTTCTACTAACTCAGAACCTTTTCATAAACTTAGAAAAACTGAGAAAATGGAAGGTTACTGCGCTAAATTATTTAGTCATGATTTCTTTAGGGGGAAAAAGAGAGACAAAGTAAAACATCAGTAAAAAGTGAACATGATCGCACAAAGTTACTAACATCTTTCTCAAAACTTTGTCGAGTTTTTAGCCTGGGTTGTGAGAGAACTAGCCCTAAAGACGGCACCGCCTCACCCCGGAGGGCTTTATGTAAATCTAAAGAGCTTTGCAGTGACTGCGTTTGCCGTTTCTTTATATTAAAATACAGACCATAATTTATGAAGCGTGAACTGATGAAAATCCTCAGATCAGTGCGTCCCTGTGTGGAAGACTGCTGTTAAACGACAGAGAGGAGAGAGGGGTGAGCAGGGAGGTGTAAAATCGCTTCGCTGGAAAAGACAAACGACGACAGAGGAACGAGGGAGATAAAA